GAGACAGGTTTAACTGCATCATTCTTCTATTTGATGTACAACTTCATTGTTTGATGAAACCTCTGAACTAAAAAATTGCAGAGTATGTTTGACTGGCTAATGAACGTTCAACATTGCTAGTAGAGAACCACCCAACCAACCAGCGTGTAAATAAAGTGGATACACCCCATAATAAGAATTAAGTCAGATATAGTAAATTTATTTAACAATGGTATTTAGCTCTCCATCCATTTGAGAAAATATGAAGTTACGAAATCATTAGTAGCATTATTTTTAGCAGATAATAACAATACAAAGCAATAACGCACCATCCATATATACAGTTAAACCTGTCTATAGCGCCTCCTCTTGGGACTCACCAAAATAGGGTGCTATAGAGAAGGGGTGCTATAGACAGGTCACTTTTAATGTGAATCGCATAGTACTATGTATTTAAAATCAGGCGCTATAGAGAGGGAGGGCGCTATAGACAGGTTTAACCGTATAACAAATTAAAATGAGTATATTAGTATTAATTTATGCCTAACTTGTCCTTATTGTTTGCGGAAGAGCATTGCTCGATGCAAATATTTAAATGTAATTCTACTGTCCTAAAAGCTTATGTCCATAGTTTGCTCTAAAACCATTTCTAAGATTCCACCCTTCATTACAGCTTATATAAGCAGAATGATCCAATACAGTATTGGAGCTCTAAAGAAGTGGTCTGATAGATTAAATTGGCGAAATCGCTGAGAGGGTTCACCACTGATGAGCCAAGCCCCCCTCAATATTTTTTTATCGCAGTAAGAGCAGTAGAAGTTTGATTTATTTGTGAAAAGAAACATTCTCGTCTTAAATGTTTTAACTTGAGATTTGGTTGCTGATCTAAATCCCAATTTCCTAATTTAAGAAGCAAAATGCAGGGTATAATATATACAAACCACAGATGGTTGGGTAAGGTACAATTTGAATTATAGATTAGAATATCAAAAGGGAACAAGACCAAATCTAAATTATTGAAATGTCAAAAACATTTCTATTATTCAAATTTGGTCTTTTTACCTTTTGATTCAAAACAGACTATATATAATAGTAATATATAATATGTATATATGGTTTTGACCAAGGACTTGGTTGTTGTTGTGTGATGTAATCAATATATATCGTGAGATATTCATGTTTTTAGTTCTTATGATAATTCTGTAATAATAAAATACAGTAAAACCCCGCTAATACGAACCCTGGATATAGCGAACCTTCCCTTATAACAAACCCACGGCGATTCCCAATTCCATTCCATTGAAAATACCATCGTTATAACGAACTTTGCGATTTTTAAAATAATGAACTACCCCTATAACGAACCTATTTTCGGTCCCAAAATGATAAAATCTATTAAAAATACTATGCTTATAACAAACTTAAAATTGTGTTTTTAAAAATTTTTAAAACAACAAAATTTTGAGCATGTTTCAGCTCACGGATCGCGATTTCAAAACAAAAAATTAGCGGCATTGTTTTCATTTCCATTCTATTTTGCTGTATGTTGTATAAATTTTTACACATTATACTTCATTTAATAGAATATCTTTGCATTCCACAATTTTGAAATAGAAGAAAATACAAATGGCTTCCAAAATAAAGAAAAGAAACAAAGAGTGGCGTTCTAAAAAAAAAAAAACAGTGGCAGCAAGCCCTTTTAGAAGCGTTCTATATCAAGTTTAACCTAGGCTAAAACATAATTCCAAATAATTTTAAAGCCAGAAATGGTTTGAAAATAACAGGTTAAAAACAAAATTTAATATACACTTCAGAAGAATATTTGGAAACTGGAATTGGAAGAAGAAGAAAAAAAAAAACAGTTCCCCCAAGTTCCCCGTGTCTCATGAGCCACAAACAAATCGACTTATAAATTCTCAAAAACTACCACTACAGTTCTATTTTTAGAATCGAATTATTGTTAGGTATATGACTCATTCAGGGTTCGCGGATATTCCCCCTATCCGGCCGTTTTACCACCGATTTGGTGTTTGTAAATTGGCATTTTTTATTCGCAATTTTCCCGATCGCGCTATCGTATCAACATGTTTCTCGTCCGAATTTTCTGAATTGGATACTTTTAATTCATCTTCAATTGATTCAGAATACACAGAAATTCATTCCTTTGGTGGAAATAATGCTATTTTAAGACAATTCTTATTTTCAAATTTCACTTTTCACTTTCAAACAACAAGGTATTAGAGGCATTTTTAAAAATAAATATAGTATAGTATTATATTATTTGAGAAAGATGTTCTAAAATACTCTTAAACCTTTTAAATATATAATTAATAATGTTTTGCCTAGGGGATTTGGCTTAATTTTTAAATAATACATAGGTTTATATATAAACATGTATGCTAATGATAAGAAGAACCTATTAACAAATGACTTCTTTTGATATTCAGCATTCTTCTTCTTCTTTCTTATCTCCACACTGGGTGAAGTAGATTGCGTCTGCCTTTGTCATTAAGACTGGGAGCACTACTCAGTGGCAGGCCGACTTAGCTCCAAAATAAATGGCCGCCTCTGACATGAGGAACAGACGCCATGTGCAGCCGCTCCTAACATGGAGTACAAACGCTGCTCATCCTGTATCCCTGGATTAGGAGCCCTAACAGGGTACTATCAGCCGGGCCAGCTGAGCCCAGGTTTTTTAGTGAGCTTGTTACTGCTCCCCCCCCTCCTTTTTCATCCGGGCTTGGGACCGGCAAGGGCGGAGGAAATAGGTCAATTTAGGGGATTAAAACAAAGTGACCATTATTAAGTGGCTGCCTTTTCCTGTTTGTATGGCTGTTTTTTAATTATACGGTCTAAAAATTTAGAAAAGTTTTTTAAAAAAAAGGCCAAACCGTGGCTATAGTGAACCAAAAGCTCTGTCCCATTGGGGTTCACTATAGAGGGGTTTTACTGTATTATCCAAATATATAACAGTAGCATACAATCTCTTTTAATAGAAACTACACTACCTAAGATTATTGACTATTAGATAGAAGAGTACATAACACTGGCGACGAGGATGGGAAGAGTACATAACAATAATAATTGTAGCAATCTGCGAGACCAAATTGGAGAAACTATTAAGAGGGTTTAACACTGATAAGTCTTGCCCTCCCATTATCTAGTTTTCATCTTTTAGCGGTTGCAGAGGTTCATCTTTTAAATACAACAGCAACAAAGTGCTATAATGGGGATGATAATTTCATATTTTCACTCTAGTAGAATACAGGGCTCTGGCACATTTGTAAAGTACAAAAGTTAAACTTTTTTTTTTTTTTTGCTTATCCCTAGTACACGTGGTACAGGCCATGATAATCATGGTGGGTAGTTAGCGACTGCTTTTACTGTAAGCGCACCACATATCTACACATGTGAAAAGCAGTTCGACTTTGCACTTACAAATGCCAGAGCCCCGTTTGGTTACTTGCACTCGCTGGTGGTGTTGGACTAAAGAAGTTAAACTACTTTTCACATGTGTAGATATGTGGTGTACTTAGAGTAAAATCAGTTGCCAACTTCCACCATGATTATCATGGACTGTACCATGTGTACCCAGAGGTCCTCCTCTACTTGGTTGGTGGGAGAAGCAGTACAAGTAAGTAACTGCCCTGTAGTACGGTGTCGTGAGCCGCTACGGCAACCATGAACAGGGAACTCTGAAATGTGGCTGACTAACAGGGCAATGAAACATCCCACTTTCCATGGGGACAATACATCACCACCAACATGTATACTAGGCATAAAAAATATAAAAAAAACTAGTATATGACTTTAAAGGCACAATTTGGATTATAAATTATAAAGCACTAGGCGAATGACCCGGCTTCGCCCGAGAAATCCCTTGGGTGCAATTTCCTTCATACTAAAAGTATATCAATAATAAATATTAGAAGTGCCATAGAATAGCAATACAGAAGTAACACATAAACTACAGGAAAAAAAGTGTGTGTGATGGCAAAAATTGTATTATATTAGTGTTTAGGTATTTGATTTAATTAATATAGTTGATATAATAGTATATATTTATATTATATTTTTTATAAATGAGTTTTAAAAATTGTAAAAAAAAAAAAAATGCATCAGCCGGGAATCGAACCCGGGCCGCCCGCGTGGCAGGCGAGCATTTTACCACTGAACCACCGATGCTTTAAAAAAATGGCCATATTTAGGTATTCATTCCATTCCGGATTAGTCCGCATAAAAAAAGTTCTTCAAATTAAAAAAAGAAATAGCCAAAAAAACTAATCAAAATGCAGCCGAAAATTTTCCTCAGGTTTATAAAAAGCGACATGCAAAATTTGGTACCAATTGGTTCAGTAGTTTTTGAGTTTATCGCGAAACAGACAGACAGAAATTGACTTTTATATATATAGAGATTAATATGTTATAACACCTTGATAAAGGTTGGCGTTCAGCCAACTAAAATATTGGTAAAATAAATGATATTTTGATCCAATATATGCCTTTTTAATTAAAAAAAAATATAAACACAAGGTAATAAGACCAAATCCTAATAAATAAATAGTGTGTGACGTTTCAGTAACAGCATTGTTACCATCTTTTGACAAAAGTGCTGAATGATAAGGCACAATTTGGATTATAGATTATACACACAAGGTAATAAGACCAAATCCTAATAAATAAATAGTGTGTGACGTTTCGGTAACAGCGTTGTTACCATCTTCAGACAAAAGTACTGAATGAGAAATTTTACCACAGCATGCTTTAAATATTGTAGAACGAAGTTTGACAATTATACAGCAAAAGTTTCTTTTAAATGAAAAATCTAAATTTATTTTAAAGAGAAATAACGATTATTTCTAACTTTAAGGATGAGGTATGAAAGGATGAATTGGGAATAGTAATGATGAACGGAAAAATAAAAGTGTCCAGGGATGGGAATCGAACCCACAGTGTCCACTAGGCTATATTATATTGTATTATAAATTACTTTATATAATATTTACGAATGGAAAAATATGTCCAGGGTAGCCTAGTGGACATGGCATCTGCCCAGTAAGCGGAACACTGTGGGTTCGATTTCCATCCCTGGACACTTTTATTTTTCCATTTATCATTACTCTTCACAATTCATCCTTTCATACTTCATCCTAAGGTTAGAAATAATAGTTATTTCTCCTTAAGATAAATTTCGATTTATCGTTTAAAAGAAACATTTGTGGTATAAATGTCAAACTTCGTTCTACAAGCATATAAGCCGCATTATATTGTATTATAAAATATTTAAAATATGCTGTGGTAAAATTTCTCATTCAGTACTTTTGTGTGAAGATGGTAACAACGCTGTTACCGAAATGTCACACACTATTTATTTATTAGGATTTGGTCTTATTACCTTATGTTTATAGAAGATGACATGTTTTATTCAACTTCCAATTGGTATTCCTTCACATTACTCAGTAAGTGAGACAATTATCTCTGTTGAAAATGATGGCCTCACACAATTGGCTGATGATACTTAGCAGTATGATACACCTGTTGTTCCTGATTGGTTGGTTGGCTGGACACATGTGCGAATTCTCTGGTGTTAGAAAGAAATGGCTCTATTAAATAATTCTATGAAAAATAGACACTTCGGCCAGTTAGAGTTTTTTATGTTCTCAACGTTTCGACAAAAATATTTTGTCTTCGTCAGGAGAAGTAAATAAAGCATTTGGCAAGGCGTTAAAAATTGTTCTCTATGTTAAATAAGAGTGGTACAAAGATGATAAGGCACAATTTGAAGATGGTAACAACGCTGTTACCGAAATGTCACACACTATTTGGATTCGATCGTATTACCTTAGAGTGGCATAAAGTTTTTTAAAAGTCAATTACTAGAGTTCAATTTTATATACAGTAGAACTACCTCTCTGTAAAGGATAACACCTAGTTACACAGCCAAAGTGTCCTCTTCTTCTTTCTTATCTCCACTCAATCATATTAGGGTATCAAGCTTGTAAAGCTTGAAATTGACAACCATCATGATTGGGTGAAGTATAATGTGTCTGCCTTTGTCATTAAGACTGGGAGCACTACTCAGTGGCAGGCCGACTTAGCTTCAAAAGAAATGGCCGCCTCTGACATAAGTCCTGTCCTTTAGGTTAAAAGCAGTTCAACTTTGCACTTACAAATGTGCCAGAGCCCTGTTTGGTTACTTGCACTCGATGGTGGGGTTGGACTTTTGCAAGAATCGGGCCATTGGAGCATTTTTTTTATTCGAAAAATGTGTCAAATGTGAGATTCGATCCTGGGTCATAGCGGCCGAAAAACATAGACCACCCTTTCACCAACCTCCTAAAAATATTGATTTTTAAAATGTAATGGATTGGAGAAAAAAATTTGGTAGGTCTGGAGTACAAACTCGTTGATTTTCTAACCCTAATCTGGCATAAAGTGTTTATAAGCTATTATAAGATATGGTTAGTTTCAGATAGAATAGGTTAGGTTAGCAAATCAGTATGATTGTCCTGAAAACTCCAGAAATTTTTTCTAATTAATAGTTATTGTTAATTGTATCCTCTATCTCTGATTGAACCTGGGTTTTTAATCAAAGTAGTTTAAAAGCAAATATGAGACTTTCAATAGTAGAAAATTATAACAGAGATGCCTATATATATATATTTATAATTTTTATAAACACTTAAATCTTCCCTTTGGCTTCTCATTGAGGTCATTTTATGATTATTTAATTATATAAAGGCTTTATTATTTATTATTATATTTATGCTAACTAAAAATGCTGTGAAAATGCAAAAGTGGCGTGCATCAATATTATTTGAGCGAGAGGTGCACATATGTAGATAAAATATTAAATAATTATATACAAACCTCATCTCGAAGTGGATCAACCGCTTTTACAACATAATAACTAAGTTCTGGGTAACGAAGATAAGTAGTTTTCTTTAATTCTGGCTGGCAAGATCTAGTAATAACTCGACCCACACCATTATTTGGTAACCTGAGCAGAAGATTAAATAGATAATGTCCTATGTGAGGGCTTTTTACGCCTATGTAATGAACAGACATATTTTTTTATAATATTATTCCCTTGCTATTTAATTGTTATATTGTTAGGTAAAATAAAATATTACTTTGTACTTAAACACAAATAACTCCACAAAATTCACAAACAAAATAATAATATTACTGGTCAAATATAATATTTTGCACCAACAGTTATAAATTAATTATTGAGCTGCAAAAGAATAATTGAAAAATATTTATTTGATTTTAAATTATTTTATTTTGATATATATAAAATAATTGTCTATACAATTTGATCTTATTTTTATAAGTGATCATAAACTAGATCATTAGCTGTTAAATGAAAGGTTCTAGAACTACAGCCAATATAGATCCTCTAAAAAATAACTTAAACTTCATATATTTTAAATAGAAGATCAAAATAAAAAGATTTTAATTCTGAATAAGGATAAAAAAAGATATCAAAATAGTCCAATTAAAAATAGTTATCAATTTTTTTTTTTTAATTGAAAAGAGTGAAAAAATAGAGGTAACCTGGGCGCCTGGAGCGTAAATTACCAACTACCTGGGTTGAAGGAGAGATTCCTAGTTATGGGGAAATCAAATTTCTGCGGTGAACCAGGTAACCAGGTAGTTCTAGACCGGCAGTGAGTCAGGAAGTAAAGGCAGGGCTGAAATCTTGTACTTCTAGTAGTAGGGCTGTTTGTAGGCTGTGTAATATAAAAGCTGGACAGAAGAAAAGGAGGTGGTCTACAGTTTGTGACTCTTCCCGGCAGTGAGGACATGCTGGATCTAGATCTCCATGCCAGGGGGCTAGATCTGCGATAACATGACCTTAAGGATGGCAGTGGTAGCCATTCCAAGACAATCTTGGACAGGAATGTCCTAAGGAGAATAGGAGAGGTTGCAAATCTTTTTAGATGTCTGTTTTGGTTATCTTAGGTGTAGACTAAGGTCCATGTCTCCATTGCAGATAAGTGGGCACAGCTACGGGCAAGGCTTTGGGGAAGGATTGAGTAGGACTGTTCCAGGTTAGAGATTGCTGCAGTATTTGCTGCCTGATCATTCAGTTCATTGCCTGTAACTCCACTGTGGTCTTATACCCAACAAAGGCTGACCTGTGGTGCTTGGTCTAGCGCCAGAATTATCTCCGTGATTAGAGCTGATTGGGATGGACAAGGAGTACATATAGCAGCCAGACGCAATAGTAACTCCTGTGGTGGCTGGCTTTCAGTTTAGAAAGCAGAGCAATCCATCCCAAGGAGTCTGAGGAGTATTGGTTTGTCTTGTGAAAGAGGTATAATTGCGGCACTAACTCCTGCCTCAGACTTTGATCTATCAGCGTGAATAAGGGCTACCAGTTAGAGAAATTGCTGAAAAAAGTAGGAGTGCAGGGGCCACCTCTAACATGCAACGCGCGAAAGGTACTTCAGACTCCAGAGATGACTTTTCTAGAGGAAGCCCGACTGCCCCAAGCAGAGACCCCATAGAGGAAGGTCACGACCACCACAGCTTTGAGAATGCGGTTTCCAGCCACAAAAGACAGACCAAATTTTCCAATGGATGGCATTAGTGAAAGGGTCCTGGAGTATAATTTTCTTAAGATAGGAGACGAATTTTCGAATTTGAAGACGATCCCCAATATGGTGATATTCTGGCCTATGGTGATATGTTGTCTGAGAATCTTTAAACCAGGATCCAGGTTCGAGTGAACTCTCCTCCATTGAAAGATGCAGACCTGTGTTTTTTTGGGGTTAAGCTAGAGGCCATTTTCAACACACCAAGCATTTGTCCTATCCAGAAAATCGTTGATATCTCTGACAGACAAACAACCACAGACCCTGATTAGGAGGGTGAAGTTATCAGCAAAAGCCACCAGTGAAATTTCCTTGATTTAAAAAAGCATGAATAGTTCTCGAGCGACAACATTCCAGAGGAAGGGACTTAAACGCAGAGCCTTGAGGTGTTCCCAGTTGGGAAAAGGTTGAAGCTTTGAATGACCATGCGGAATACAAGAAGACATCCCTGTCCTTGAGGAAACTTTGCACAAGGCAAACCAGTGAGTCTGGGCAAACTAGGCGATCAAGGATTTGGACAATAGCTGATCTCCAAATGGTATCGAAAGCCTTGCTGATGTGCAGGCTTATTGACAGAGTCTTCCTCCAGTGTGACTGCCTGCTATCAATAAACTCTGTGATTTTGGCCAGTGCATCTTCTGCTTAACGCCCATGGACAAATCCGAATTGGTTGTCAGAACAGCCATGTCGATCTGCCAGCCATTGGAGTCTGGCCAGAATGCATTTTTCGAACACCTTTTTCAAGTTGTTTAATAGCGTAATGGATCTGTACCTATCTAGCTTGTTTGGGGCTGAGCTAGAAGTGTTAGGGATAAGAATGAGGCGGCCGCTTTCCAGTGGCCAATTTTGAGGCATTTGGAGATATTGTAGCTAGTTGGGATTCTCCGCTAGGAGGCGGCACGTATAGGCAGCACGCAACGTCGCTCTCGGTAAATGAAATGTCTGACTAAAATATTTTCTCTATTTTTACTAAAGTGCAAATTCAATCTATCTGAAATGAAACCTACATATCCAATATATCTTACCATCATAATTTTATGTCTATTAGACAAGAATTCTGAGCCAAATTTACATACTTTCAAGCCGGATACATATGGCGGCAAAAAGATTTGCTTATCACGTGTGAATCTTTCACTCTCAAAATATTTCCGAAACTTTCACCTTATATGTGTAGTTTTAATGCTCTTAATATTAGCTGGCATTGAACAAAACCCAGGCCCTAAGATGTCCAAACAAACGACGTTGGAAGCAAGCTTAGATAGGGATAAAGATATCAAAGATCTGATAAATGCACTCACCAAAAGGCTGGATAGCTGGGGTGAGAGGCTGGAATCCCGTCTTTCGGCAATCGACGATAGAGTAGAAAATATAAACCAAAGACTGCAACAACTAGAGGAATCTTCTGCCGTTACAAAGGCAGCACTCTCTCAAAACTCCAAAAAAATAAAAGACTTAGGAATAGAACAAGATAATAACGAGGACTGCCGAGAA